AGGGGGAGAGTATGCCCTAGTGGGGAGTGCGGGCCCAGTGCAGGGGGAGTGTGTGACCTCATGGGGAAAACGTAGTGAGGAGCGACTGCAGGCTCATGGCTATAAGATGATTGTAATGTTGAACTTCTAACTGTATTTCTTTATTTTTCTAATTTGTACTGAAGATTTTGTACCTAGGTACCTTTGTACCTAAGATGGCTGAGAATGGTGACTTTGTACACTTTTCACTGTATTCCTGCACTTCTGCACTCGAGTACATGTGACAATAAAACTTAATTCTAATTCTAAACATTTGAAACATTGGACAGTTCAGGGCTATGCTGGCAAAGAGGAGTTCAGGCCTGGGGCGGATCAGCCATGATCTTATGAAATGGCGACACAGGCTCAAGGGGCTGAATAGCCTACTCCTGCTCCTATTTCCAATGTTCTTATGACATTTAATATTTAGGGCAGTCTTGCAGTCCTTGGTGGGTATAAAGAATTGGTTTAGACACGATGGAAACAGCCTATTTAATACAAGAAATATTCTGCCTGCGTCTCTCGCTGTAGGCCACAATAATCACAATAATCCAACAACCAGGGAACAAAGACAGCTCAAACTCACCATCTTTAGCCTCCACCATTACTGTGTGACAAACTGCCAATAATTTAAAGAATTCATGAACTCCTGGGTCATCTCCTGAACGAATCAGTTCCAACAGCGAGCAGTCATAAAACTTCAGCTTTTCATCAGCAAATGCATTCCAGCTAAAATCAACTACCTGAAAATAACCCAGGGACTTTCTCAATGAGAAGTAGGAAGAGTTGCACAGCAATCAGTGAACAAGGAATTTAACATTGGTTGAAGCACAAAATTGCTGAATCAGAACTGAAATACTTTATGTGGCACGTTCAGGGCTGGACAGTTATCTGGGTGGCTAGCGCATCATTCAGAATTTTTTTTCATTCATTCACGGGATGCGGGCGTCGCTGGCTAGGCAGCATTTATTGCCCATCCCTAATTGCCCAGAGGGCAGTTAAGAGTCAGCCACATTGCTATGGGTCTGGAGTCACATGTAGGCCAGACCAGGTAAGGATGGCAGTTTCCTTCCCTAAAGGACATTAGAATAACCCCAACAGCACAGATTCAATCTCTGCTCCAGCAGAGGCAGCCCTAGGATCTATCTTGTTCCCCTGCCACTGAGAGTGCAAGGCAATGCCAAACCAGGACTGACAACAATTGCCAAGGAAACAGCCCAGGATGAACCATCAGCAGACAAGGAACCAAAGGCTTGTCTTCAGGAAGCCCACACATGACACACTGATAATTCCACTTTCAACTTCTGATAAAATATTCGTTCAGAAGATGGGAGTACATTTAATCTAATTTAGTTATAGGAACACAAGAACAGGAGTAGCCCATTTTTCCCTTTGCATTTTAATTTGTTCTGCTATGCTATGACAGGTTTTGAGGCATTGACGCTCATCCTGGAGCAGCCCAGTTAGAGTTTTATGATAAGAAGATTTAAACAGTGGCTCAGTTATTAGCACTGCTGCCTCACAGCACCAGGGACCTGGGTTTGATTCCAACCTCACACAACTGTCTGTGTGGAGTCTGCACATTCTCCCGGTGTCTGTGTGGGCTTCATCTGGGTGGTCTGGTTTCCTCCCACAGTCCAAAGGTATGCAGGTTAGGTTGACTGGCTATGCTATAGTGTCCAGGGTTGTAGAGGCTAGGTGGATTAGCCATGGGAAATGCAGGGTTAGATGGGTAGGGTGGGATGCTCTTTGGGGGTGGGGGGGTGCAGTGCAGATTCAATGGGCCGTATGGCCTCTATCTACACTGTAGGGATTCTGATGGAAGGGAGACCTCTCTATCTTCCTGTGATCACTTCTAGTCAGGGACCTGTACTTAAATGAGTAGTAGGTTTGAACTGAAGCTCAAAAACCAAGGACTGCCAAAATCATAAAACTGACTTCTACCAAATTATTTTGATTACAAAGCACTTACCTTTGCGTTTTTGACACCATCGAATTGATTGCCTGGAAGACAAGGAATTCAAATTTTAACTTATAAAGTGTGAAGTATTGTTCATTGTTAATTTACTCTACAATCCACAATCTTCAGCAAAGATATCCCTCACCCACAGCACCAGAACCTCCAGCATGGTGAGGGCAAGGAGACAAGTTCTGAAACCACTCCAGCCAGGACAGGGATTGATCTCCATGTGGTTGCCAACAACCTGATACTTACTGGCCATCCAGCCAACTAGGGTGTCCACATTGTGTGGCAATATGCAGATCAACACTTAAGGGAATATGGTCATGTAGAGGCATTGTCACTAAGCTAGAAATCTAAAGGCCCAGGCTAATAATCAAGGGACAGTGGTTCAAATCCCACCATGGCAACTGCCTAGATCTGGAATTGGAAGATCGCCTGAGAAACAGTCACCATGACAAGCATCATTGATTGACATGAGAACACATGGTTCGCTAATATCCTTTAGGGTGGAAATCTGTTCTGAAGAAGGGTCCTGACCCAAAACGTCAACTTTCCTGCTCCTCTGATTCTGCCTGGCCTGCTGTGTTCCTCCAGCTCTACACTGTGTTATCTCTGCCATCTTTACCTGTTCTGTTTTATACATTATTCCAGGTCAGGAATAATGCGGCTTAACCACCCTCCGAAATGTCATGCAAGCCACTCAGTTCAAGGACAATTAGGAGTGGGTAACAAATGTGATGCCCACATCCCACAATAGAACCCCAACTAGATGACAATAATAGTAAAGGTTCCAATACTTTCCCATCACAAGGCTGACTAGGGTTATCTCCTGCTGTTACTGTACATTGTTGGCTAATGTTGAAAGGAACTGCAGGTTGGTACTCAACCTTTATGGGCTCATTATAATTCCACCTTCCTTCAGCATCAAGTCCTGGAAGGGGACTTGAACCCAGAGCTTCTGCTCAGAGGAGGGGCGCCACCCACTACACTACAAGACCTCAGAATAGCATAATGCATGGAAATCTTTGGCCCTTTAATTAATGCATTCATTGGATGTGATTCTCTCTGTCTGGGCCAACACTTATTGCCTAACCCCGATTGCCTGGAGAAGGTGGCAGAATCCAGCCCAATAGACACTTGGGTCAGGGCACCTGTTTTAACAGATTGACTAAATGATTGCCTAACTTGTAGTTTGTAAGATTTTGCTGCTCACCCATTAGCTGCACATTGGTTATATCACTGTGGCTGAACCTCAGAAGTAATTCACCGACAGCTTTGGGGTGCGCCAAGGACATACAAGACATTGCCCATGAAATGTCCCATTGCAATGGGGGGCATGAATTTATTCCTGCAACTAATTTCTAGGAAAGACTTGCACACAACTTGCTGTGAAGGTTGGTAAGGTCGTGCATCCCTAATCCATACAAATTTGAGCAATTTCACAAATAAAACTAAAATGGAACTGCAAGTCATCACACAAGTGCTTTTTGCAGTTAAAACTCTTTGGAAATAGTTTGCCTAAATCTTTCTTCTTAGTCTTGTAAATATTTCCCTTGGAGAGGATACGCTTGACAACAAATGGAGCATAAATTGTTTCTTACTCCTGAACATTAGCAATATAAGAATTACCATATATTCGTCCACCGATGCTGCATTTCTTAAAGGTCATGATGTTTTGGGTTAGAGTTCCAGTTTTATCTGAAAAAATGTACTTTATTTGGCCAAGCTCTTCATTCAGAGTAGTTGTTCTTACTTTGGCAGGAATGTCTCTCTCAGCACAGTACATCTTTAGATCCCAATTGATGTAAAAGCTCTGGACCACATGAAGGAGTTCAAAACTGAAATACAAAATTGCTGCAATTATTCACTCCAAACAACACCTCTACGCAGTGATATGTGAACAGAGTCAGAGTTGCAATTGGTTAAATCAGCTCTATTAAGCCACTGCATTACACAAACGACTGATAAAGGCAAGAACAAAGGCATTTTTAAACACTAAACTGCAAAGTGGAGTGATTAAGAATTACATTTTTTTTTCAGGAAGAGATCCGCTAAATTATATGAAATAAATGTCTGCAACGCAGCAACATTTGTTTATTGATTCAATAGTTATTGGTGTACAGTGAGCAAAGCAATTCTTACAACATCAGAAACTCTCATGTTTGTACTGGTATGGGAACTATTGCACTTCATGGCAAACATGATCATTTTAGAACTCCCTTAATCATACAACCTAGGTATGCCTCACAGTTCCGTCGCTAAAGGACAGCGTAAACTTAATCATTCTCTACTTCCAATAGCAGTAAAACAGCTCCCCCTACTGACCCTCAATATAATTAGCACACAACAATGCACTGCCCCAGTTTCTTCTCTCTCTGCAATTTGACTCATTCTAAATCAATGTGCTTGACTCAATTTTTGGCCTTCATGGCTGTTGTGGTATTTTCCCAGATGACCATTGCCAGCACACACTGGTATTTGCCACTAGTAGGCAGGTAAGGGTTGTTTGAAATTGACATTATTTGTTTTCTTGGGCCTATCTAATAAATAGTTGTAGAGTGTAGCCCCCCAATACGTATGCAGAGAAGAGGCAGTGTTTGTAGATGACAAGATAGCAATAGGTATAACTCATCTGGTCGGACATATTCACTAGGATGCTGGAGAGCTGGTACAGATACAGCTAAGCTGTGCGTGACATGAGTCAAATGGGTGGAACCAATAAATGGAACAAGAAAATAAACCCCTTCAGATCCACTACCTTATGCAACAACTGTAACATCAGCGGCAAGGAGAACAATTTTTGATTCAAGAGAAACATGAATGTTTAACTTATCGAAAGAAGAGACTCTGCATTTCAAGAAGAGCAGTTTAAATATATTCATGTTTCAGAGCCTTAACATACACCAAACCCCTTACCATTTCAGGTCAGAACATTCAGTCCATATCAGGACTAGTCCAGGATTATGTTTTAAAGTATATACTTCCACTAATTATTGATAGAGTTACTATCTCTTTCAAATCTTTTTCAGTTCAGATTGCATTACTAACAAAGCCTAGAAATCATAAAAAACATTTCTATTGTTCTCCAAAATATTATAACTATTGTCTTTCTTTTGCTTTCTCAGTTATGAAGAAATCAGTGGAATTTTTGATTTTTTAAATTCATTCACACAATATGGGTGTCACTGGGTAGGCCAACATTTATTGGCCATTCCTAATTGCCCAGAGGGAAGTTAAGAGTCATAGAACATAGAACTGTACAGCACAGGAATGGGCCCTTCAGCCCATGAGGTTGTGCCAAACATGACGCCAATTGAAACAAATCCCTTCTGCCTGCCCTTGGTCCATACCCCACCATTCTTTGCATATTCATGCGCTTGTCTAAAAGTCTCTTAAATGCCCTCATCGTATCTGCCTCTACCACCACCCCGGCAGTGTGTTCCAGACTCCTGCCACTTTCTGTGTGAAAAACATGCCCCTCACTTCTCTTTTGAACTTTCCCCCCTCTAACCTTAAATGCATGCCCCTTATGCAAGTCATCCTTATTGCTGTGGGTCTGGAATCACACGTAGGCCAGACCAGATAAGGATGGCAGTTTCCTTCCCTAATGGAAGGTGGGAGATGATTACTGGACATTACTGAACCTGATGGTTTCCTTCCCGACAATCGTTTCATGGTTATCTTAATTTCAGACTTTGATTAAATTCAAATTCAATTTGAACCCAAGTCCCCAGAACTGGATCTCTGGATCTCTGGATTAATATGCCTCTATGCCTTCGCCTCCACCTGCAACTTATGAAGAGTTTTCTCATTGCATTATAAATCTCCAGGGAGAAGATTCTAAACAGCTGCACATTACAAAGAGTGTGTGAATTTGTATATAGCTTTGCAGACAGAGAATGACTTGCTTACATAACATAAAGTGACATTGGCAATATTGAGTTTAAAATAATAACGTAGCCCCAAAAGGACAGGAAGCCTTGATATCCAGGACTGAAATTTTTGGAATCAGTGTTGAGATACGGAGCTTTCTTTCCAAATTTCTCATTCCAGACGGCACCTCCAAATGCGAGGCAGAATGATAAAACAGCAAGAATCAAGAGGATCTGAAAAAGTATCAAGTGTGTAGTTACTTAGTCAGTTGCATTCCACTTTATAAGTATTGCTACAGCCACCTTTAATCCCACAGCCCTGAGTTGACAATCAGTGCTTACAGAAGTCAAGCATTAATAAGAAATTTATGTTTTTAGGAAGCACCTTCCTTGCCCACAAGACATTGTTAAATACTTCCTACACAATGGTGTACTTTCTTTAAAAAACGGTGTAACTAGTTTTATTTGTAATGCAAGGCAAGAACAGACACAAGTTGAACTTTAAGTATATGCACAGTATTATGAAATTCTGCATGGACAACATTTCTATTTGTGCACTTTTCCCCAAGTATACAATTCCTTTATCTTAAGTCAAATCCTATTTAAAAGAAGTTTAATTACATTACTGAGCTCTGAAGAAACAGGGATTAAAAAAACTGGAGCTGCACTTTATACGTGGATTAGTAATTTAGGTTAGGAAACAGATAGTCAGGATGAAGGGAGTGCTCTGTATTTGGTGGGAGATAACCAGTGTTGTTCCCAAGGGGCTGTCCGAAGCCTCAAATTTTCACCAACCTTACTGATGACTTGAAAAGAGAATTATTAACATTATGTGCAGATGACATGAAGATAGAAAGCACAGTACATTGTGTAGCAGGGAGCAAAATGATACATGGAAACCATTGTGGGCAACTGTGAGATTATCCAATTTTCTTAACAGTGAGATGTTAGGAACTATGAAGAAACAAATATACATGTAGACAAATCACTAAAACCTGGTGGAGAGGTGCAAAATGTCATCAAAAAAATTAATGGACTGTTGAACTTTATCAATGAGGAGGTTTGCAATGAGGTGAGGAAGTTTGTACAGAGCTTTAATGTGCACTGACACTACATATTGTTCACTTTTGGGCATCAAACCTCAGGAAGGGTAGATATTTTCTAATCAACCTGTTCAGAGATGTTGTCACACAACTCTGGAGCAGTGGGACTTGGTATACTGGCTGTGGGAGGATGGGGGTGTGAAGGTATAGTGCAAATTTACCACGATAGCAAGTTTAAAGTGTTAAGTTGTATGAAATGTTTCCATACATTTAGCTTGTATTCCTTGAGGTTAGCTGGCAGAAGGGTAATTTAATCAAGATCTTCTAAATGATAAAACATGAGATTTATCAAAGCGACACCAGGGGAAAAGTAGAGATTTCTAATGATTGATCTAAAAGATCAGAGCGGAGAAAAGGGTAAAAGGATATTTAACAGTGGTTCTTATATTTTAAATAAACAAAAGAATTTGATAGAGTAAATAAGGATTTTGGTAAGAGAACCGATGATAAAGGCACTACTAATTTAAATTACCAGTGAGATAATGAGGAACTCATGAATTTTCTCCCTGCAGAGAGTTGCTAGAGCTCAATAAGATTTGCCATGGGCGGTGGCAGGCAAGTTCGGAACCAGTTCAGCTTTCTAAAGGAAAGTAGCTGATAAAAATGGGCAGAAGAAGAAATGGGAGAGACAGCAAGGCAGTGAGCTTTATTTCTGATCAGACTAGCAAAAGATTGGCTTAGACATGATGAGTAAAATAGCCTCTTATTGAATGTAAATTTTCATAATTCTAAAATAGAACATGTGGGAAGTGATAAAACATACTAGAAGGACCACACGATTCATGAGGCGCTCGATTTTGGTTTTCTTCAGGATGTATCTCCCACTGTTCTTCATTATTTTTGTATCCACCCCTAAAAATCAAATGGAAAATGTAATAAGTTAAAATGTGTCCGTACAGAGTTATCAGCAGTAAATAATTTTGGCTTTGGAAAACAGCATAAACAAGCCATTTGTTTCCACAAAGCTAAGTAAGACCCAGGAGATCCTAATGACTGGTAATATTAGCAATTCTCATCATGTAAGTAGAGAAATTTACATACAGGAATTGCTCATACAGCAAATATACACTTTGTGAATGTGCCAGCACTTAATCCAGAGGTCAGCTGCAAGAAGTATTTTTACACACGTGTGTAGTGTTCTGCTTTCCTAACTTGTACTCATGCTCCTGTGTCTATCTGGCTCAAATAATGTATTCACATGGACAGAATCTAATCCTTTGCTTATTGTAATGGCATCATCTCAAAGGTCATGCATTTCCATGTTACAAAACTTTAGCACTGCCCTGATAACCAAGGGTGGGTGTTTTAACTCAAAGTGGGAATCAGACAAGTCGGTCCCAGACTGGTGCTATATCATCATGACCTCAGAAACGTGAGCCCCAAGTCATTTGAACTCTTGTGATATATTATGAAAAAGTCATACAGAAGCAGACCCTTCAGTTCAATTTGTCTGCACCAACCGGACATCCCAATCTGACCTAGTCCTGTTTGTCTGCATTTGGCCCATTTCCCTCTAAACTCTTTCTATTCATATACCCATCCAGATGCCTTTTAAATGTTGTAATGGTAACAGCCTCCACCACTTCCTCTGGCAGCTCATTCCATACATGCACCACCATCTGCGTGACAAAGTTACCCCTCAGGTCCTTTTTAAATCTTTCCCCTCTTACTTTTAACCTATGCCCTCTAGTTTTGGACTTCTCCACCGTAGGAAAAAGATCTTAGCCATTCACCCTATCCATTCCCCTCAGTCATACAACACAGAAACAGACCCTTCGGTCCAAACAGATTGCGTGCCGAACATAATCCCAAGCTAAACTAGTCCCACCTGCCTGCTCCTGGCCCATATCCCTCCAAACCTTTCCTTTTCATTTACTTATCCAAATGTCTTTTAAACGTTGTGCTTGTACGCACATCCACCACTTACTCAGGAAGTTTATTCCACATGCGAACCACCCTCTGTGCAAAAACTTCGCTGCATGTCTTTTTTAAATCTCTCTCCTCACAACTTAAAAATGTGGCCCCTAGTCTTGAAATTCCCCATCCTCGGAAAAAGACAATTACCATTAACTCTATCTACACTCCTCATTATTTTATAAACTTCTTTAAAGGTCACCTCTCAGCCTCCAGTGCTCCAGGGAAAAAGCCCCACCCTATTCATTTTCTCCATATAACTCAAACCCTCCAGTCCCAGCAACTTCTTTGTTAAATCTTTTCTGCACCCTCTAAAGTTTAACAACATCCTTCCTACAGATGGGCGACCAGAATTGTATGCAATATTCTATAAGTGGCCTCACCAATATCCTGTACGGCCGCAACATGACATCGCAACTCCTATACTCGATGCACTGATCAATGAAGGCAAGTGTGCCAAATGTCTTCTTCACTTCCCAGTCTATCTACGACTCTAATTTCAAGGAACTATGAATGTGCACTCATGATCTCTTTGCTCAGCAACATACCCCAGGGCCCTACCATTAACTATAAAAATCCTGCCCTGCTTTGCCTTACCAAAATGCAAAACCTCTCATTTATCTAAATTAAACTCCATCTGCCACTCCTCGGCCCATCAGATCAAGGTCCTGTTGTAGCCTGAGGTAACTGTCACTGTCCACTACACCACCTATTTTGGTATCACCTGTAAACTTACTAAACACACCTCCTATATTCACATTCAAACATTTTATATAACTGACAAAAAGCAGTAGACCCAGCACCGATCCTTGTGGCACACCACTGGTCACAGGTCTCCAGTCTGAAAATCAACCCGCAACCACCACTGTCTGTCTCCTACATTCAAGCCTATTTTGTATCCAACTGGCTAGGTCCCTCTGAATCCCAATGTGAGCTAACCAATCTACCATATCAAACCTTGTCGAACGCTTTGCTGCGTCCATACAGACGTCTACTGCTCTGCCTTCATCATTCTTCTTTGTCACCTCTTCAAAAAACTCAATCAAGTTAGTGAGACATGATTTCCCATGTACAAAACCTTCTTGACTATCCCTAATCAGTCCTTGTCTTTCCAAATGTATGCAAATCCTGTCCCTCAAAATCTCCTCCAACAACTTACACACCAGTGATGTAAGGCTCACCAATCTATAGTTCCCTGGCTTTTCCTTACAGCCTTGCTTAAATAATGGCATCACATTAGCCAACCTCTAGTCTTCCAGCACCTCAGCCATAGCTGTCAATGATGCAAATATCTCAGCAAGAGGCCCAGCAATTTCTTCCCCAGCTTCGCACAAACTTCTGGGAAATTGACTCAGTTAGCCTGACACCAAAAATTGGAAGGAAGAGACACCCGGTCAGAGAGCTGGAGTCACAGCCTCCAGGACATAACCACAAATAGGAGCTCACCATGCTGGGGAAGACCTTGTAGTTTAAACTGAGCCTGACAACTTGTCAGTCTGTGACAAAGGCTCATAAGCAAACGCATAGAAGTCCCACCCTCAGAGAGCAATCTGATTAACTGGCAGCTCTGTAGTCCTGGCTGTGCCACAAGGAGAGATCACTATTGTTGAGACCACAGACAGTCACCAGATTCTAAATGCCAGGAGGCCAGGACAAAGTGAGATCCAGAAATCTTACTGTGAAACTGGAAGAAGGCCCTGACAGATAGTGGGTGGTAATGGCATAGGGCTTATGTTCAAAATGCCTGGTGGAAGCAAACAGGGCAAGAGGGGTCCTGATGGGAAATGGGGGCAGTGTCAGAAGCTTCCTCACTTGAAGCCAAGTAGGTTTACATCCAGAAGTCTCCCTATCCCTGACCTCAACACCACCAGCCTCAAAATTGTGGCCAGGCAGAAAGTGGCCCTTAAATGGCCAAAGATTGGGCCAAAGCAGGTAGGTCACGCCAGGCCTTGGTCATGCTTCCCCTTCCGTAAAATTTCTGAGGCTGAAGAGAAAGGCAAGTAGTTGGCAGCATTTCCTTGCAGAGAAGTGTACAGTGCTACTCCTCCTCTCCATTGCCTCACTGGTCTGAGGTCCAGTAAAATTCTGTCCATAGACTTTTACAGCACAGAAGGATTCCTTCAATTCCTTACAGCAGTGCAGTCTTTTTCAAATAACTGTCCACTTAGTCACTTCCCCATGGCTATTCTCTATATGCTTTCTTCCAAAATCTCATTGAGCTGAGAATTCGATCATTGCACATTCTCATGAGAAAAATCTGCAAATCACTTCTATACCTTCATACATCTCATTAACATGCACTGCAATGTTGAAATGAGACTTGCGTATTTCACATAAGAACCCTCCAATGCTATTGTAGACATGCTGGAAAGTCACACTCAGTGAAGAATGGACTGGGATACAAGGAAAATAATCCAAATGCCCCAACCTCTAATTCCCAATTTGATTACAAGCAGGGACATGGAACATCATCTTCAGGAAAGAATATCCACACTGGTACTCTCTGGCACACAGTTTTATCAACTTGCCAACACTACCCAGAATATACCCATTCTTATCCTAGTGGACCCCACAGCAATCAAAAATACACCAAATCACACCAACAGAAATTGGAAACTCCTTGTGGAGGCTTTGTGCAGTCCCACATACAAACATTTCCCTTAACAGGAATCTTGCATGGCTCTGGGCACCTGCAACAGCTATTCACTATCTCCTGCTAATGGCCAGAACACACTGAATCACTCACTGTGCAAGAATTGTAGTCACAGAGAGAAGACTCTTCTTCTGTGCATTTGTGCTGCCTCCTTTTGTTTTGCATTTGAAATGTTTTTAAAAGGCCAGATTTAATTACAGCTACAAGCATTTTATCAGTTAAAGAAATTGGAATTATTCACTAATTGGAATTATCCGGTAATCTGAGTGAAGCAATCTAATGAATACAATAAAATGAAAGAAAATTCTCAAATGAAATTTGTTTGAATCAAGGAGTGAACTGTTTTCCCGGGACTAACCCAATTACCAAATTCAAGTTGACAATTATTGCCTGACACCAGCCGGACAGAATATACCACCTTCTATTTGCAGGCCTGTGTTCTGACTGCAATATATTATTATGTATAGTTCTACTTACCTGCAAATAAAACAACCCCATAGCACTTGTCTGTATTCCGTATTCTACAACCTCGGAGTAATATTTGTTCATTGTCAAGTGAGAATTCTTCTCCTTTCCAAATTAATGTGCCTGTAAATGAGTGCAGGTCACAGTTTGGATTTTCACAGATTATTCTACCTGTGAAAACAACATGTATTAGTTTAAAGGCTGGTGGTAACTATGCACTAAAAATTCCCAAGTTATATAACATATTTGTTTGAAGGATGTCTCAAATAAATATGCAATATTAATGTTACAAAGACAGGAATGACAACTAACATTTATATAGCATCTAGAACAGAATAAAACAAAGCATTCCAAACACTTTAACACTAATGCTTTAAACAAAGTTCAATACTAGACTATCGAAGGAGACATTCAAACAGATGGCTAAATATTTAGTCAAGGGGGAAGGTATTAGGGAACAACTAAAGGATGAAATTCCAGAGCCACAGGCCCAGGAAGCTGATGGCATGGTCGCTATTAGTGAAGTGTTTAAGATCAGAAATTCCCAAAGGGTCAGAAATGGAAGAATGAGGACATCTTAGAATGTTGAGAGCTAACAAGGCTATAGAGATAGGGAGCGACTTGGCAAGGCAACAACAGCTTAACAGCCCGACAATAAAGCTGAAAGGGTCCTGAGATGGACCTTTCACACATGTCAAATATCTGTCTTGATACATTAATAGTTTAACGATTGATTCTGCTTCTGTCACCATTCAGGCAGTGCATTTCCAAGCAGCATAAGTCCCTGCGTATCATCTGATGAAAGTGTTGTTTTCTTCCTGAGATCCACTGCATTATACTATTTTAAAGCTCTGGTTGATGGTGACCAGTGACAGTTATCCCAAATAACATGCTGATTCAAGCCTGTTGATCCCAAGTTACAGATGCTTTGGCGAACTAAAAAATATTTTATGCACTCACACCGACTCAAGTTGTGATTTCTAATGTCTAGCAAATGTAAAAACAAACTGTCCAGAAGTTTCAGATCACACTACTGGGGACAAATTGATTGTCAGAATGAAAGGTATCTTAAACAGACATTTGTTTTCTGCTCACAGGTCTCTGTACTACACAGCAGTATTGAACCCTCTACCAAATGCAGGAGATTTATTCATCTAAGTGAGCTTTGGGAGTACAAACCAATTTGGCTGGAAGAGGTATAGCCAACTGGTTCTAAACCAGGGTGTAGGGATAAGCACAAAGGAAACTCTTTGGTCACTGTACAGTTCAAAATTATAATGCCAAATCAGGGCAATATGTTCTTGCCCATACTTAGATGTCCCAATGTGGTTAGAAGACAATTCCACACCAGATCTTGTTTAAACTAAGGTTGCATATATATGGGTGCAACAGAATAGAAAGGTGCCGAAAGTTAGTGGTTAGAATTCTCAGCCAGACGACAGGCAAAGCAGTGGGTACAACCCATGGTAAAACAAACAAAAGGGACCACAGACATGGGCAATACTGCAGAAATACTGTCAGTCAGCCATAAGTTCAGTGTAGCCAATTCTGCTCATTACATAAAACCATACAAGGTTTTTAAGGTCTTAGTGAAAATTTGTAACTCAGGTTGTGGATGCAGTTGTTCATTCGCTCGCCGAGCCAGTTGCTCTGTGGTGTGCAGACGTTTCATTACCCTTCTACGCAACATCATCAGTGCGACCTCTAATCGAAGCATTGGTGTTCTGCTTCCTTCCGGATTTATATGATCCTCTGGTGTGATGGCCTTATCACTTCTGGTTCTGTTGTTTTAGCAGCGGTCTGTATACGGGGTCTATTTTTATGTGTTTGTCAATGTGTTGAGAACCAGGTTTCCAGAAATTCCCTTACATGTCTGGTGTTCGCTTGTCCCAGTAAAGTCACTTTGTCCCAGTCGAACTGATGGCCCTCATTGTCTGTGTCTGTGTGTATCTAGACAAGTAAATAATGGTCGTGTCTTTTTACAGCCAGTTGGTGTTCGTGTATCCTGGTCGTTAATTTCCTCCTTGTTTGTCCAATGTGAACACTGCGCCAAATGTTATCAAAGACTAAAGACCCCATACCGACAGTAAACAAGACCAACGTGATATACAGAATACCATGCAGTGAGTGCAATAAACATTACATTGGACAATCCAGGGAGGAAACTAACGACCAGGATACATTAACACCAGCTGGCAGTAAAAAGACACGACCAATATTCACGTGTCTCGATACATACAGACAATGAGGGCCATCAGTTCGACTGGGACAAAGTGACCATACTAGGACAAGCGAACACCAGACATGCAAGGGAATTTCTGGAAGCCTGGTTCTCAACACAGGATTCCTTAACAAACACATAGAAATAGACCCCGTATACAGACCACTGCTAAAACAACTGAACCAGAAGCGACAAGATCCATCACACCAGAGGATCATATAAATCCGGAAGGAAGCAGAACACCGATTCGATTAGAAGTCGCATTGATGATGTTGCCTAGAAGGGTAACGAAACATCTACACACCGCAGAACAACTGGCTCAGAGAGTGAACAGACAACCATACAGGGTTGATGCCAGGCACAGAAATGTATCTCTTTCAGGTATGTTTCAAAAAAGTTTTGAAAACCTAAGGGCCAGAAGAATCAATAATTATAAAATAACACCAGACAGAAGGAGTCTATTCAGCCCATTATGCCTGTGCTGGCTCTTTAATTGAGCTATCCAGTTGGCCTCATTCCTTTGTTCTTTTCCTATAGCCCTGCAATTTATTTTCCCATTCCAATGTTTAGTTATTTTCAGAAAGGAATTGGATAATGAATCTGCATCTGTTACCATTTGAGCCTTTCAGAGCAGCATAGTTGCTGCATGAAAAATATTGTCCTCATCTCACCTTTCAACAATTTTCTTAAATTGATGTCACCCTGGTCACCGATGCTTCAGCTAATGGTTGAACTGGACTTACACTGTCAAGATTCTTCAGGACGTGGGTCATTTCTGTTAAATTCTGCCTTAATTCTCTCTCCTGTAAGCTGGAGAACCCATCTTCTCTCGGCTTTCTGCATAATTGAAGTCCCTCATCCCTGGTATTGCAAGTTCCACCTCAGGATTTGATGCTATGCAAAGTAGGCCATAACATGGCTGACCAGCTAAATTTCTGATCATAAGGCCATATCACCCAGGTGTCTGTGTTCCTGCACTAAGGCATGACTTCCAGAGTATTCATGAGCTTCATGAGGTAGGAGAAGGACTGAAAAGAAGCAGGGGCAGAAAGGATGGGACAAAAAACTTATGTCATTCTCTATTTTGGTGTTGAGGGTCAGCAAAGATCTAATTGAATGGAGGAGCAGGCTTGATGGACCGAATGGCCTATTTCTTCAATTTCTTCTGTCCCTATGATTTCCCGCGAGTCCAAAAACCTATTGATCCCACCTTTGAATATCTCAATTACTGAGATTCCACAATCCTTCCTGAACTTTAATAAAGAGGTGTGAATTTTATTATCTGCCATCAATTGTTGGGGAAACTGAGGTCAATACAGACCATTAGGTATATCCCAGGACAATTTTACAGTCGCTCAGATTTAAAATCTTCATACAATTTAGTTGTCCTCAAATCAACTTGAAATTTATTTTTTAATTAAAAAGGTGTATTCTGCAGACATTTATTGAAATATGTCAGCTCTAAATTCCAGAGATTCACAGCTGTAAATTTAAAAAAACATTTTTGAGAATTTTGGTTTTTAGTGAGAGACCCAAAATAAAACTTGTGGTGCTCACAGGATCAGTTGAGATCACAGCAAAATCTACATGTGCAACTATTTTTGAAAATCACACAAGAAACCCTGGCATATTAAATTTGGAGAATTGGAAGATAAGGCTGGAGTTTAATTTGTAAGCACGTGAGTGGGTTATTTTGATTATTCTTTCAAAGGATGTTTGCATCACTAGCAAGGCCAGCATTTACTGCTTATTTCTATTTGCCCTTAAATTGAGTGGTTCGCTGGGCATTATCGTTACTACTAATACATAAAGTGATGTTACATTGATGAACCGGTTCAGTGATATTAGCACCACACCATCATTTCCCCTTGGTTGAAGCCACTAGAGACAGGAAACTCACAGGTAAGTGTAGCAAGTTTGTGAGTGTCTTTTTAACCCAGTCATTGCATCCCCAAATTATCTCTGTATTTCATGAGTCAGTGAGATGTTAACCTGCACGAGTTGAATCCAATTCTAGTATTTAAAGGGCATTTCAAACAGGAAATTCAATGGATTCTAGAGCTGGGCACATTGCAAAACACACTGACAGTGGGAGTACATACATTTAAAAGCTGCACGTGGTTTTGGTGAAGCCTGCTGGATTTGATGCGAGAGTTGCATGGGCTCACGGGGAGATACTGTGACTTACTAAGATGAAGAGTAAGATTGCCAACAAAGTCCTGGTTGGAGATTGCCCATCGAGGGTCTACAGCAGGACTGCAATGCCCTGCTCTTGGACTCAATGCTGAAAATGATTGAATGACCTCAATAGGGAAGAAAAGGTTCATGCAGTGTCACATTCAACCACTTCCTGAACTGTCTGTCACTACAGCCTGCCAATTCTTCCTTCCACCACATCGCCTCACACTAACTGATTTTGCAGGTGCATGTACCCTTTTCTGTGCATGCTGTTCCTCACATTCCCGCATGTTCATCGATCTGACTCTCAGCGTCATCCTTATCAAATGTTAGGCTTCTCCCTCATAGTCACCCTCAACACCTGTTCTCCATTCATTGTTCTTACCTACAGACCTTTACTTTCCCCCCCTTCTTGTCACCTTCCTTGAAGGATAATAGGACAGAACGCAAGGAATGGAAGTGCCCCTCCATCCATCTCCCAACTGACAGCTGCAAAGGAGAGAAGACTCTGGAGATCTTGCCGCAGTTGACTGTTGGAGGTGAGAAGTTGGGCAGACAGGCGTTTCCTAGTCACTGGGTGGCAATATTAAATACCAGACAGCCCCTTGTCTACAAAACTCACTCATACTGGCATGATATCAGCAGGGAGTGAAGTGTGACTATTTGCCTTATATACAACATTTTTACCTCAGTTCTCACTTTTGTGTTCAATCTTTGAGTTCATTCAATGAGTGTCCTGCAGGAGCTGATACAGGGAAGAGTGTCACGTCCTCAGGGTATGCCACTCACTCTGAGAATGGTCTGGCACAAGACTCATACAGACCATGTGCCATCTCAGATACTCTCACTTCATTGGGATCAGAAAGGAGGATCTTTGAGCCTTTACCTTACTACCGAAACTGGAGGCACACCACTATTCTTGCAGGGTGGTTTGCTCTTGCAGGGTTTAAACTAGTGTGGCAGGGTGCTGGGAAATGGAGCAGTAGGTCAATAGATGGAGCGATTGAGGAGAAGGTAGAGGTTAAGCAAGTCTAATTGGGAGAACAGAAACCAAAAGAACTGTGGATGCTGTAAATCAGGAACAAAAATAAA